CTGTTTAGTTTTATTGCCTTGTTGGCTCATTGTTCCTGATTAGTTACAGCTGTGTTCCCCACCTGTTCTCCACCTGCTCTCCCCTCGTTATCTTTTGTATAATTGTCTGTCTCTGCTTATCGTTTGTTGTGTTGTCCATTTTACTATGTCTCCTTGTTCTGTGGTCCCAGTGAAATCTGATATTTGGATTTCCTGTTCTGCAAATGTTTTGGGATTTTTGGGCACTTTGTTTATTTTGTTATACTTCTGGCATTAAAGGTTTATTTTTTAATTTTGGGTATGCAAGACTATAAGACAATGTTTCATAACAGAGACATGTTTTTATATTCACTTTAAAAATCATCAAGGCTGGTTGGTATCCTGGTAACAAAGTCCAATATCTGTGAACTTCACTAAAACATTTGATCTAATTTACGAGGGAAAGAAAGAGTAAAGAAAGTTGTGGCCATCAGGTGTAACCATGTGACCCTTATATCAAACTTCGAAGGAAAACTCTTACAAGCTTAAATGGAAAAACCAAATGGTCTTTGATTTTTCTCAAGGTTTGATTTTATCATCTCTAAGATCTTTTTATATATACAAATGTAACGCACTAATTTAGCAATCTGTGCTTAGAAATGCTTATTCTCAAGTGGTCATGTGACTTCTTCTGGACACTGTTTTAAACTGCCCAACTTGCAAAACTAGCTTGCTGGTGAGTAGATAACTAGTAGATAACTGGTGAGTCCGACCTCCAAAAAACATGAAAGTGGCCAAAAATAATTCTTCTTCTTCCTCTACTTCTTCCCCCTTCTACCTCCTCTTCGTCCTCCTCCCTTTAGGGCTCACCACAGTGGATCATCTCTACATGTCCTAAAATCCTAATACTGAGGCTCTGAAATGTGGAGAAACCATCTTTTATATATAGTCTATGCTTTAATCTTACAGAATATTCAAATATTCTCACTACGCAGGCTGCCATACCCTTTTCCAACTCAACTAGGTTACACTACAAGCCTCAGACATGGAGATATTACTCCACTAGAAAGTCTGTTAATAATTTTCCTAAAATGTTTATTCCTTTAACATTTCACTGGGACCAAGTATTACAGTCAGATTAATGTGTAATTTATTAGGCCAGTCCAAGGGCATCAGTGCCTGAACCGACTTCCCATGACTGTGATTCAGAAGCAGGTATTCTTATTTATTTATATATTTTTTTCTCTTAACTTGTTAATCCTTTGTGGAAAATTTCCATTGCTCTCATATGATCTTTGTAACTGTAATCCATTCAAATATAATAGCACATTTTAACAAATTAACCTGTCAAACCATTTCCAGCCAGCTAATTTTTAGAGCTAATTAGAGTTATGTTTTCATATTAAGTGCACGTCTGTATGCAGCATAATTAAGACTTTTAACTGTATTTTCACCCTCATTATAAAACCATGTGGTTTTATTCTTAATCTGCTCTATTTGCACTAACTGCATTCATCTTATTGTCATACATTTAAATTTCTTCCCTGACCCAATTTCTCCTGAATCATTAAACTTTCATTTTATCTTTTCCTTCTCTTCCATCTTTAATGCTTTTTTTTTTTCTCAATTACATGTTGATTAGGGTTTGAACATTTAAAAAATGGAGTTGTGAAGGCAGCATATCCTGTTAGTGTCTATACGAGCACTTCCAGTAAAATAAATGGCTCTCTCTTTGCAGTCAAAAGAGAACCATCTCTTTCCATCCAAATGTGGTATTAATGCCCCTCAAAAATATTGATTTTTTTTTTCATGATGTAAAATGGCCTTTGGTTTTACCCCCGCCCAACCTACAGTAGGTGAGGAAGCACAACTCTTAGGGAGGGAGAGAGAGAATAATGAATAGTGAACATGAGCCTTGTATTTGGATGAGTGCAGATGATGAATGACCAGAGGGAGGAAGTACAGGACCAGAGCAGAAGCACAGCCATTTGTTACTCTGCTGTCACAAATGTATTTTTAATGAATTTGCACCTCTGACTCTTCTGCAGAGCAAGACTGTTCCTTAAGGCCAATGTGACCCCGATATTTCCTCTGAAGTGGTGGCTCTGAATAAACCCACTTTAGCTTCTCCGGTGTAATGTAAATAACCTTGTCCTTCTGTTTGCTCAAACCATCAGTCTGGCTCCTCATTATTATCCGTACCTGTGCCCAGAATAGTTTCTGTGCTGGTAGCAGGTGTGGCGGTTTCACCTTGAATTACTACTTAGTGTGAAGCTCTGTATTACTCAACTATGTTGTTTTTCTTGGCAGATTAAAAGTCCTTTGAAACAACATCATTTACACTCCTTGACTTATTTATTTGATTTAAAATTCAAATTGTTCTGGTAATATACTGCGTGGAAGCCCCTCTAGATCACCCAGCCTTTTCAGTGAAATGTAAATACTTTCATAAGCCAAGTCTTGTCAGTTTTATCATGGGATTTGCTTAAAATGCCGGCGTGATTAATTAAGAAAAGATACAAGGGAGAAAGAAGGGCAGGAGAACAAGTAACAGTGTAAAAGTTTTCTACCGCTTTCCCGCAGGGCAAACACCTTAAAGCATGCCGCTGACACTTATCTGTGATGAAGTCCAGAGGCAAACCAAGAGGAATATATTTCATGCAGCAGTACAGAAAGCCTTAGTTGGCTGGCATATTGGGGATGAGTATGATGTTGGAGAAAGCTAGCAGGAGATGGAGGTTAAGGCAAGGCCAGTAACATTCACACTCCTCTGCCATTACAGCTCTCCTGCGTTTTGCATGTGGATGTTGAAACTGCAGGCAAAAAAAGAAAAAAGCTCCACACACAATCCTGGAATAGACTGCCCCGTTTTACGTTACGCCGATGCACGAGATGATACACATGATCAACATGTGACCTCAGCTGACACCAAGAATGACACACACATCATTGCATTTGCTGTGTTTCATCTGTGCTGTCACGCCGGTTCAACGGTCTTCTGGGTAATCGGACCCAGGCAGTCATCCATCATCAGCCTCCACAGGAAATGTTTTATGCAAAGAATAGATACCAGAAAATGCAATTCCACACACTGTAAAAAACAAACAGACAGAGCGATAATTCACAGTCTCAGTGTACTCATCATTCTAACAGCAACAACACAAACAGAGCAACAAAAGGCAATCCAGAAACGTCACCTTATTCACTCTTGTTAATGAATCCCATGACAGCTCTTTATGATATTGTTGTATTTGTCCACATTGAATAAGGAGGTCCTGTAAGTCAGGCTCTGACAGGTGTGAGTCCTTGGCCTCTGTGTACATCCACTTAGTGTCAATCCCAGCGCTCACCTTGGAGCTGTTGACAGCTTCCTGCTGCTGAGAAAATGTCATGGTGTGGACAACCATGAGAGTCACGTCCCATCCTGTGCTTGTCATGGCTGAATTAAAGCACGCCGGTGCAATGAGTTGGTGTTTATGAAGGCATCTCATTGCCGCTGGACGCCTCTGTGGGGCCCCTCTGCCTGCCTGTACGGCGGGTCTTGACAGGATTCTCCCTCGAGCATCAGTGGGCGGCT